ATTTCTAAATGACACGTTTACACCTTAAAACGATGTTAAAACTAAAAGTAAATGTTCAGGGTTTTTATTAATGGTAATTTTCAGACTGTGAGTTGTTTAGTGGTAGCTCATATAGTCTTGATTCTTGTGGTTAAACTTTTCGCTCCGTATTTGATGGTAGTGGTGTCGAAATTCATTCGTCACTTCCTTTTCAGTTTTTGTTTTTTTTAATCTTTTTTTTTTGTTATTATTGTTACGTCCTGTCTGTATACACGTGCTTTAAAATGTATTGTTTATTTCTACATATTTGTCATATAATAATCAAAATATATGTTTACAAATGTTACATAGTCTTTGTCCGCATATTTTTGCCACGTCATGCACGCCCTTGCTATTTTACATAATAAAAGTGTCACATTCATGAAACTTGCTCCATTCATTGGTACTAATCCTACAACTATACCCTAAAAAATGCTTGAGGGTGGGATTAATAGAAACATCTTTTTGGGTGGGGTACATTTTATGACAGGCCTGGTTATCACAATATGCCCCCCCTTGCTATCTTACAAAATAAAAGTGTCACAGATTGATGCATTTAACTTCAATATAAAGAAAGATATCTTCTGTTGTAACAACAATAACATTATAAATAGTAACATAGCTGAACATGGTATTGCACATTTAGCTTTGAGTGTTACTGACCTGAGATGTTTTCATTACATGAATTAAGGTGACTGAGGCTTTTTAACATAGACTTTTCAGTGTCCCACATTTTGCACAGAACTGTCCCACATTAGGAAATGCAGATTGTCTGAGACAACTTGGCACTAAGAGTACTGATATGTCTACCATTTCTTTTCTGAGTGTAATATCTGCATTTTCTCTTTTGGTTTGATTAGGACACATCCTGGGGATTGTGTTTACAAACATTGACCATACCGTTCACCATCCCCCACCCCCCTACTGTATGTTGATTTTTGACTTTGTTTAGAGCAGTGAATTATCTTTCAACTTGGCACTAAGAGTACTGATATGTCTACCATTTCTTTTCTGAGTGTAATATCTGCATTTTCTCTTTTGAAAAACTAAGTTCAAGGTTCAAGGTTCTTTATTGTCAATCTGACATAGCTACAGAGTAATTATGTAGTTGAAAATCTTATGTCACAGGCTTCTCCAACAATGCAACATAATAACATAATAACAATAAGAGCAAGAGCAATACAAAAAGAATAATAGTTATAAAATAAAATAAAGTTATGATGTGGAATAGTGCAGCATGAGTCTATATACAAGTTATTGGAATGATATATATATATATATTAGGTATTAGATACATACTACTGAGTAGCAGATGAATGTTTGAAGTTGTTTCAACAGTTCAATTTTTTAACAGTCTCACTGCCCGCGGGAAGAAACTGTCTCCGAATCTTCTTGTCCTTGCCAGGATGCTGCGGTAACGTCTGCCAGACGGCAACAGAAAGAACAGTTTGTGGCTGGGGTGATGGGGGTCTTTGATAATCCGTAGTGATTTCTTCCTGAGCCGCTGGGAGTAAAGGTCCTCCATGGATGGCAGCTCCGTCCTGGTGATGTGCTGTGCAGTTTTCACCACCCTCTGTAAAGCCTTACGATCGAGGTCGGTGCAGCTGCCGTACCAGGCCGTCATGCTGCCAGTCAGGATACTCTCTATCGTGCACCTGTAGAAGGTCAGGATCCTCTCTATGGTGCACCTGTAGAAGGTCAGGATGCTCTCTATGGAGCACCTGTAGGAGGTCAGGATGCTCTCTATGGTGCACCTGTAGAAGTTGCAGAGTATCCTGGAATCCATTTTGAACCTCCTCAACCTGCGGAGGAAGAAGAGCCGCTGTCGAGCTTTCTTGGTGATGGTGTGAAGAGACCATGTCAGGTCCTCAGTGATGTGGACCCCAAGGAACCTGAAGCTTTTGACTCTCTCCACCGTAGTCCCATTGATGGCGATGGGGGCGTGTCCCTCTCCCTGCTGCTTCCTGTAATCCACAATCAGCTCCTTGGTTTTGCTGATGTTGAGATGGAGGTTGTTATCCTGGCACCAAGATGTCAGGTTTTCGACCTCTCTGTACGCCGTCTCGTCATCGTCTGTGATCTGGCCGATGACGGTCGTGTCATCAGCAAACTTCATGATGGTGTTGGAGCTGTGTGTGGCCACGCAGTCGTGGGTGAACAGGGAGTAGAGGAGAGGGCTGAGCACGCAGCCTTGAGGGGCACCGGTGTTTAGAATCAGGGTGGAGGATGTGATGTTTCCCACCCGCACTGCCTGGGGTCTGCCCGTCAGGAAGTAGTCAGGAAGTAGTAAGTCTTAGTTTGGCCACTCATTTTTAATCACACACGTCTCCCCATCCCATTCAAATTCAAATTCTTGACTGGAAGGGCAGTGTTGCCTACATGTAAATGGTGGCATAGCCTATATGCATTTGAAAAGAAATAGTACCCCCCTCTGAGTGACTATCTGTTGACTTCACATCTTGTCACAAACCAGGAGACTTTACTTCCTGATTTTTGGAATACAAAATAATTTATCTGTGTACGTGTTTCACTGAACGAGCATACTGTACTGTGATCTGCATGCACTTATCAAACATTTAATTAAAGTAGTGAAAACAAATAGTGAGGGGGTCCAAAATCAGCCAACGTGCTTTGTTTTTAATGTTCATCACTATAATAATAAATTTAAAAAAAGTAAACATTTACATTATTATTATGATTATTTAATATATAAAGACTATATATTATTGAATTACAAGATTAGATATACTTTATTTGATCTAAAATATTGATGTGTTCAAATGCTCTTCTAAACAAAACTGAAAGTCCATGAAAAGTTGTCTTTCTGTATTTGTGAATGAAGCGTCATCTCCTGGTTAAATCCTGAAATTGAAAATCTGGCAACGCCCTCTTGGAAAATAGTGGGAGGGCTTAACATTCCCAGATGCAGGTCTTAGGCAGGTCTTAGGCAGGAAGCAGGCAGGAAGCTGTAAGCTGGAGTCCTATCTGGAGTGCTACATCTGTATGAACAATTTTTACCTAAACAAAACACAACTCTAACGCCGAGCGTCTGAATTAGAACTAAGCGAAAGAGTGCTAACGCACTTAGCAGCTATGAGTGTGTTTGACAGTGTGTATCTGGAAAGGGGGCGGTAATTAGGGGCAGTTTATAAATCCATGTAAACATGACCATTATTCAGTTAAAACGAGACGCTGCGTGCGCACCTCCTAAACCGGAAGCTCCGGTCGGTTAACCATTATAATCCGTTTATTATTTATAATTGTAATGATAGATTATCAGTAATCATTTTAAAGTTACACAGAGACATTGGATTAACCTTTAGCAGCGTTTTTATGCCCTTGAACACAACTTTTGATCACAAAACAGCAAAGGTAAGACATAATTATCATCATGGCTACGTAAAGTGAAGTTGTTTTCTTGCTCTTTCCTGGCTGCTAGTTCAGTGAATTTTGTGTTGGACTTCTGTTCCGTGTAGGTAAGAATGGTTAATATAGTCTGTTAGCTGAGTTTCTTCCCGTTAAGTGGGTATGAATCATTAATAGGTTGTTAAATGTTAAGAAGACTTGAGACGCTGTTTCTTGCAAGATGTTGCGTCTGCCCCTATGGTCTGCCCCCGGGAGTCTCACACTAATAAGAGCGCTGTTAGGAGAGATTACGAGTGGCATTCACAGTGGCCAATCAGAGGGGTACTCAAACCGGATACGTCACATGGGATGAGGGTTCCCAACCAACCAGAATTGTTTAAACTAAGGAAGTAGCGTAATTCATATACCGATAGCAGCACCGTTTGTCTTAGTACCGGTTTTCAATACCCATCCCTAAAGCAGGGTATAGAAAGTACATTATTGAAATGAAAATACTGTTTATTTACTTCTACAAACAGTGAGCAGCTGGGCAGCTGCAGCATATGTGTTGCCAACCCAGTCTCACTGCATTTCGTGTTATAGTTATGAAATTAATTGAATCTATTGATTCGTGTTCACCAACACGATTTTCGCATTTTTTTCCTGTCACACAGAACGATTTTAAAAGCAATGTATTTCTATTGGTAGTATGTTTCGTGCCTACACCACGTATTTTTGTCCGGTCGGGTCTTGGAAGACCAGAAGCTGTGTGGTTCATAAACACATTTTCTTACTCAATATCTTACCCTAAGCCTAACCCTAACATTTTAAATAGTATAATGTCTGAGTTTTTTTGCCGTCCGCGAGGAAAATAAGTGGCTCAGAGCCTCAGAATACTGAAATCTGTGTTTTTCAAAATCTTTTTTTCCTTCTAATTTGTTATTATTTGGTGCAGGCATGAAACATACTACCAATAGAAATACATTGCTTCTAAAATCGTTCTGTCAGAATACTGAAATCTGTATTTTTTTTTATCTCTTTTTCCTTCTAATTTGTTATTATTTACATTGCTTTAAAAATCGTTCTGTGTGACACGAAAAAAATGGGGAAATCGTGTTGGTGAACACGAATCAATAGATTAATTTTGTGACTATGACACGAAATGCCGTGAGACTGTGTTGGTGTTGCAGGACATTTGTTGGACACAGACTGTGTGTGGTTGGACTCTGTCTCACAGGCAGGTTGCATGGTAACATCAGAGGAGACTGGGCCAATTGTACATTCTCAAACTGCACCACTTAGAACTAACAATAATAATTGTATTCAATAACCGCAAAAAAATTAAACAGTATGAAGTGATTTGTAAATAGGAATACAGATTTGACTTAATGTTTTCATAAATATATTTTTCTCCCAGTGAAATTGGCATGGGACTTATTTTAACCCTCTCAAAGAACCGGAATCGAGAAACCGAAAATAACCGGAATCGAAAATCAGAACCGGAATCGTTAAAATCCAGACGATACTCAACCCTGGATGTAAAGCATGAGATCAGTCAGCACTCTGAAGCTGACTCAAAGAACAAACACTTATTTTACACTGGATCTAAAACTGTTGGGTTGTGTTCATCCCTACAGGATCAGAGATTATGAGACGATCACAGACATATTCCAGAATAACTGTGAGTACTGAAACCATATCCTCCATTCATCAAGATGTTGTACATTAAATCTGATCTTTAAAGGTCTTTATAGTGCAACAACAATATATTTTAATTCCATTTTGTTACAGCTCTATTCAATCATTTTGGCTGCTAATGTTTCTCTTTGTTCAAGTTTAATTATTATTTTTCTATTTCTCTTCTCTCCATCAGGTGACTCCGATGTGGAACAGGAAGTGAAGACAGACAGAGAGGTGAGAGAGGAGCAGTTTTACAGAGTGAAGTGTATTGATTTCACCACTGAATTAAAATAGAATTGCTTGGGCTGTCCAGTTAAACGCTATAACGCTCGCATTTTAACTAGATACCAGAGGTGGGAGTAAGTCCTACATGTGCAAGTCATGAGCAAGTCTCAAGTCTTGACCTACAAGTATCAAGCAAGTCCCAAGTCACTGTGATGAGAGTCAAGCAAGTCAAGTCAAGTCATTGCTCAGGTCAAGTCAAGTCAAGTCAAGTCATACGAAATTCTGATGAATAAGCCCAGTTTCCACATTTAAATCAGTTAAAAGACAGTGGTTATGAAAATGGATTTAACCCACACTATGATCTTCATTACATACACAGTTAATCATTTGAAATCTAATTTAGACCGATGACAATCATATTAGATTCATATTAACCCTAGAACTGCAGACAATATAGCTAGGACTCAGTCAAAAAGTCTGTTCAAAAAGGCAGAATTCCAGGTAAGAAAATCATATATGGCATTTGCCATTACACATATTTAATTTAAATGTCTGTTAACACTAGAACCGCCAACAGCGTCAGCACCTACAGAGATATCATTTTCAAATCATTTAATTTGTTCCTCTTCATAATTTCCTTATAAACTAAGTAGGACGATTTAAAACTCAGTTAATTGGGTTAATTTAGAAATTGTTTCAGTTTATCATCGTAACAGATCAAAAAGTTCAGATTCATTTTACAATAAATCAAGGAATGATGCACTTCTACAAACAAAAACAATTAAAACATTTAAACAAACTACTAAAAGATGATGAACTCCATGATTCAACAGTTTACAGTAACTTCTGAGAACACAGGGGAAATAAACGAGGCATCTCTTTTCCTCTCTCTCTCTCCTCCGAGAGAGGAACGAGAGAGCGAGAGGAGAGAGAGAGAGAGAGAGAGTCGGGCGAGAGAGAGAGAGGAGCGAGAGGAGAGATAGAGAAAGAGAGAGGCGAGCGAGATCGAGAGCGAGAGAGAGAGAGAGGAGAGCGAGAGAGAGGAGAGATCTAGCTAGTCTCTCTCCTCTCTCTCTCTCTCTCTCTCTCTCTCTCTCTCTCTCTCTCTCTCTCTCTCTCTCTCTCTCTCTCTCTCTCTCTCTCCTGACAGCCCGTCAGTATCAGGGTTAGTCAAAATGAATCCCTTGGAGGTTCTAGTGTTCATTTACCGTTTTGTCTTCTCTTTGCTTAATCGATTTGAAACCAAGTCTGACGTAGCTTAAACTTAACGTTAGCTTTCTAGCTAACACAACACATTCACGCACCTTTCTCTGTGCGGTTTTTTGTAGTGACGAATGAAGTTGGATGTTGTGGTGGTCGTGTCACTGATCTTTATGCTGCAGACCCTGCATACCGCTGTTCTCTTCTTATTAGCGTCATCGACAACATAATCCTTGAATCCAAACTTCACTATTTTTGGAGTGACGCTAGCCGCTGCCATGTTAACTGACACTCCTGCCGTCTAGTGGGTTGCCAGGTTTGCGCGCACGGCGCTATAATCACCCAATCACGTTTCGAAAAAACTAAATGTAATATCTCACTACAAAAACAAACGCAAATATTTAATTTTAAAAAGTCAAGTCCTTTCAAGTCATCTGTCTCAAGCTTAAAGGTAGGGTAGGTAAGTTTGAGAAACCGGCTCGATATCGCTAGAATTTGAAAATACACAACCGGAGAAAATCTGCCACTTCCTTACAGAGCCCCTCCTCCAACACACACGAACGCGCACATGACCAATGAGGGCACGAGATAAGTTTGTGCACAGATGGAGGCTGACAGGCAGGTAGGCCATCCAGTTACTTTAGCCGGGCCGGCTAAAATGATTGGTCGTGCTTTTTACAGTATTACAGCTTCCACAGATGACATTTTTTTATGGATTCTTTGTCAAAGCATTTCAGATATTCATTGCTATCGGGATATTAAGAGCATTCCATGGAATATAACAAAAAGTGTATCTCGAGCCGGTTTCTCAAACTTACATACCCCACCTTTAAGTCAAGTCTCAAGTCATGAATACCAAGTCAAAGTCAAGTCAAGTCTTTTATCAATGTTAGTCAAGCAAGTCTCAAGTCCAAAAATATGCGACTCGAGTCCGACTCGAGTCAAGTCATGTGACTCGAGTCCCCACCTATGCTAGATACCTTAACGCGTTAAAATAAATTGACGTTACCAAGCTCGACCCTACTTCCTGTTACACCAGCACGGGCAAAAACGCTGACAAATCTGCAAGAAACAGCGTCTGAGGGCTTCTTAACATTTAACAAACTATGAATGTGTCATACCCACTTAACGGGAATAAACTCAGCTAACTGAATATATGAACAATTTCTAGTTAAACGAAACACAAGTCTAACGCCGAGCCTCTGAATTAGCCCTGAGCGAAAAAATGCTAACGCACTTAGCACAGAACTCACGGTAGAAATACTTTATTACTTATCGAATCTGCACAAACAAGATGTCAGATTAAAGCTGAGATTCCACAGATTCTAGGGGTATAAGTATCAGACCAAAACTCGCGGCAGAAAAGGCAAACCCAGACAACACATAACGTAGCTTTACGGGGCCAAAACGCAAATAAGTCTTACCGTTGCTGTTTTCTGATCAAAAGTGTTGTTCAATGGCATTAAAACGCTGCTGAAGGTTAATCCAATGTCTCTGTCACTTTTTATATGTTATAGTTTGGATTCCTAAAGCTTTTAGTCTACTATCCCATCATTCAAGGGTGTTTTTCACTATAAGTAATGGGTTTTTTGGATGGACACTATAATTCATTGCTTAGAGAAAAAAGATTAGTAATTTACCCCTTTTAGTGAAGATATAGTCATTTGTTCTGGGAATGTCCTTTTCAAGCTTTCATTTCATTTCATTTTTATTTGTCCCGCTCATGGTACGCAAAACCCAATGTACAATAATTGCCACCAAAACATGTCTCTACAAACACACCATTGAGCGAAAAGGAGCAGGGAGAAAAAAAAAATCTTATATGACCTGCCCCTTTCTAAAAATAAATAAATAAATAGATATAAATGGTCTGCCCTTCATAATAATAATAATTGTTATTTTTTTTCACAGCCAAACATAACAGTATCTTAGGATACTAAGAGAAACACAAAAAATACTTATTTCCCACTTGACGGTTAACGGAAAGAAACAAAACAACAACAAAAAACAACAACACCAAAACATCACAAAAGGATAAGGAAAAGGAAAAGGAAAAGTGCAACACCCTCATCTGAGTCCTACTGGAGAAGAAGGTGGAAAGCGGTGCATAATAATAATAATAATAATAATAATAATAATAATAATAATAATAACAATAACAATAACAATTGGACCTGCAAATAAAGAACAGACATCACATCAAAGACAACAAAAATATTTAGCAATGCAGGGCCAGAGTATAGACTTATTCACATTCTGCTTCATATAGTCCCATTTTTCTTAATTTATACAATTTCTTTAACTGAAAAATACAATTCTTTAGATCCTTCTGTTGAGAATTCCACAATTGTACACCAACCACCGAAATACACATTTGCTTAAGAGTAGTCCTTGCATAAGGATGCTTACAATTTAATTTCCTTCTGTGGTCTTCCTTGTCTGATCCAAAAACAAACAACTGTTGTAAATATACTGGTAACATTCTCAGGAGTCCTGACTTAAAAAACAGTCTGTTGGTGTGTTCTCTTGAATCAGCTTTATGAATTATTCTTACTGCCCTTTTCTGTAATATTGACAATGGCTTTATGTTGCTCATATACATGTTGCCCCACACTTCTATACAATAAATAAAAAATGGCAAAATTAGTGAACAGTATATATATTCTCAATGCCTTGTAATCTAGCAAATACTTTGCCTTGTTTAGAACAGAAATATTCCTAGACACTTTGGTTTAAACATGTGCTATGTGTGATTTCCATGTCAGGTTATCATCCAGCGTCACACCTAAGAATCGAAATTCAGAAACCCTTTCAATAAAAACTCCATCAGTGGACAGTGAAATGTTTTCATATTTTTTTCTATTAGCAAAAACCATAAACTTAGTTTTATTCAAATTTAGGGTTCACTTATTTTCATCAAACCATCTTTTAAGTTTGACCATTTCACGTCCAATACACTTTGCTAAAATGTTTAAATCATCTCCTGAACCAAAATAATGTGTGTTGTCTGCAAACAACACAAATTGCAATAATGTTGACGTTCACATGTCATTGATGTACAAAATAAAAAGTTTAGGCCCTAAAACCGAGCCCTGTGGGACACCACATTCTATGTTCATACACTCCGATCTACTAGCAGCCAATTGTACATATTGTTGTCTGTTATCTAAATAACTTTTTAACCAATCTAGAACTACTCCTCTCACACCATATCTATGTAATTTCGAAATTAATAGGTTATGGTCTATGGTGTCAAATGCCTTTTTTAAGTCATTAAATACACCTATTGTGTATTTATTTATTTCTATAGCTGCTGTAATTTCTTCTGTTATTTTCATTAAAGCTAAAGCTGCAGATAGATTTTTCCTAAATCCATACTGACTCTCACTCAACAACTAATTTCTTTCAATAAAATTATCCAATTTTTGGACAAACAATTTCTCAAGGACCTTTGAAAATTGTGAAAGCAAGGACACTGGTCTATAGTTAGTAAATTGGCTTTTGTCCCCTGTTTTAAAAAGTGGGATAACTTTCATGCTATCTGGAAAAACACCTGTCTGAAATGAAAGATTAAAGATGTAGCTTAGCGGTTTAATTATACAGTCAATAGTTGTTTTCACTATTGTCATGTCGATCCCATCACTATCAGTCGAAGTCTTATTTTTGCATTTGTCTACAATGGATCTAATTTCTATTTCGTTTATCTCTCCCAGAAACATTGACTGCAACACTTTACTTCCCCCAATTCCGCCACCCTCTTTTTGCCCATCGTTTTGTTTTGGCCAACCCGGTATCACGGCAAGACGTGA